TGACAAGTCACTAGATAGTCATGTTTTGCCTGTGAACTTGAGTCGAAGTCTGTTGGTGTGATTCAAGTTTTAATAAAATTATAGGCCAAGGTCTGACTTATCCACTTCATATATGTGTGCAGCGCAATACATATGTAGTGTTTTCTGCGATGAAATCCGATGGCACAAAGCTATGTAAATGAGAATATTCAACCATTAGTCAAAAGGGGATTTCTTCTCAACATGTCCAGTCATGTGTACAGATCTGGCAATCATTTAAAAATTCTTACACTCAACTGGGTCAATTGTGAAATGAAATTAAATGTGTACTGTATACACTGTAGGGTGCATTTGAGCAGCTTCAACCAGGCAACCCTGACCTTTGGATTGCCATGTCTGCTGTATGTCAAACAAGTGAGAGTGTGGAAACAAGGTTGAGCTGGAGTCAGGTCATGGATGCTACTTAAATGCACCCAGACTGTACATTGTTGCAGTGTACAGTCTGCGCATGCTCGCCTTGTACCCAGATGAAATGATTCCAATCAACCTTTATTGCCAGTGAGGGGATGCTTCAAGTCAGGGTGGATTGACTGAAAAATAGTGATATTTTTGCAAGGTTTAATGCTGGTAAAACAAGATTAAGACAGTTTTCTTTATCCAAGGATGGAGGAGGTTTGAAATTAAAATTAAGTTTTGAGTCTCTATTTGTCACTTTTTGTTCTTTTTCAGACCGGCAGCTACAACCTGGACGCGGCCAACCCAGACGGCTGCACGCTTTGCCGCTGTGGCCTGGGTGCGTCACTGAGTGGCCTGTGCAACCCGGACACTGGGGCCTGTGCCTGCCGCACCAACATCACAGGTCGGGGGTGCAATCAGACCTTCCCCGGCTACTATGTCCCTAAGCTGGATGGGATGACATTTGAAGCTGAGCTAGCAATTGCGGATAAAGTAAGCATGAAGGTTTCTGACATGGCATTTTGGGAATGAAACCCAAGTTGCATGTGCAGATTGAGCAAAACCCAGACTCACTTGAGGGTGACTGTGGGTACTGCTAAGAAAAGTATACTCACAAAATAAACAGAATGAGCTGTTTTACCAAGACAAGTTTATTTCTGATGTATAATTTATTTCTGTTTGCAAAAGGTTGGATTTACTGTCCTCTGATGTCAAAGTCAGGTTTTTCATTTTTGGGAACTTTGCTTGTGTACTCAGGATCTTGTCAGAAAAATAGAAAGAGTCACATCTCACCTTTTAAAGTGAAATCTGAATTGCATTGGTGTACTGAAAACTTGAAATCATTGTTTACATTTGTACTTTCTTAAAGAGCCAGTCGGCCCATGGTCCACTGAGCACCACAGGAAAGTATGTATGTATTGAAAGAAAGTGTGGTGTAACAAGGACAGTGATCTACTGTATTTGAGCTCTGTGATACAGTTCTGTATGGTTTTGGTAGCATTCGTTTGGTCCCTTAACCACTTGCTGCCGGGTGTAATTTGAAGTTGTGTCACATAAAACTGGGAAATTTTCAAGATCTTCCCTTTTCAAAATTCTTCAAAAAATCATAATTTCATTTACTGGATGTTTATACCCTCATGAGTGACTGTCCGGTGGCTACTCTAGTCTAACAGACAACATCTGTTGATGCCTGAGTATTTCAGCCTGGTAAAAAGATTGTGCCGTGTTACATAAGTTTCTTTTGTTCCCTACACTGGCACAGTGTGCGGCTGGCGTCTTTTCAATTGGGGCCAGATTAGCATGCAGCGGTATTGTATTGCTCATCACTGGAGTGCTTTTGTCCCCGGTGGTAACCTGCTCTTGCTGAATGCCACAAATGTTGGTATAATCTTTCAAAACAATGACGGATTTCCTCCTCTATTGACAACTGAAAAATGTTAGCAATTCCCAGCAGCTCGGTCTTTTGTTCCGAGTATGGTCTTTTGTTATAAGGCCTAGCTCTTTTGGGTTTGGGCTCACCAGTTTCATGTATAAAGCCTATGTGCCCAAAACCAGGCTCCCTGGCAGGAAGTGGTCAACATGCACCATTTCTCTTCAGGAAAATTAGAGGCCTCTCATGTTAATGCCTTAAATGACGAGCCCCCATGCTATGCCGCTTTTCACCTCTTGAGTGTAGGCTACTGGTTAATATTGACTGAAACTTGCTGTCCACTGAGGTTTTGGAGTAACAAAATCATTTTTTTTCTTCCATAGGACGTTACCATGGAGGAGAGGCCCACCGATACAGACACAGCAAGGCATACTGGCCGAGGCTTCCTAGCAGTACCTGTCTTGACAGTGGTCATATTCTCCAATGTGACGGTTCCCCGCACACAAGCCTTTGAAGTGGTGTTGAGATATGAGGTAATGTTAAAGGGGCAGCATGCCAGAAGGGAAGGTAAGGGGTCGTGCCACTGATTTAAAGTTTCATTTTTCTCAAGGTTCTGTCCATTTGTCTGATGGTTTAATGACTCGCTTGATTCGCAGAGCACTTCAGATTTCCCGGGTGTTCGCATTGAGTTGGCCCAGCTAGTGCCTACGGAGTATGAGTGTCAAGGAACCAATATGTCTGGTGACCCAATATCGTTTGTGTCCAACATACAAGCGGCTGGAGTTGGAGGTTAGTGGACACCATACAGACTTTAATATACAAAATAGCCTTTCTGCTCTTGACATTGAAGAATCAGGCTGTGTTCATCTACACTGAATTTTCTCAGTCTTTGGAAAATTGTAAAGTGTGTATATTTTCTTATCGATGGCTGATAATTTGTGAATTTTTTCAGAGAAATAGATACGTTCATTTCCACTGCATTTTGCAACTGATTTTGAGATATTTTATGGGGAAATGTTCACAGGTTCCTTGCAGTTTGGGTCCGCCTGTTTAAATGCAGCAAGCCGTTATAACATCTCAGTGGTCATTGGTTCATCTGTCAGCGGTCCGTCTGCCACTGTTCTTCTGGACTCGGTAGGTGTGAATATTTTAAGTACGGAAGCTGAAAGCCGTCATTTGCCCTAGTTTATTTATTGCCAATCCAGACTACATTTGTCACTGCCTGCAATTTAGACTGATGTATTGTTTTTGTGCACACTTTATTCATTTTGCCATCACAAAGAAATGGAATTCATAAAAATGGACAATGAAACAAAATGAACACTTTTCTTACCACGGTGGTGTGAAAAGGCGTACAAGTACTTGGACTATCATCAAAATTTACCATTGTAATGTTATGAAAATATATTCAAAGCACTTTACACTCATTCGGTTATCTGCATTACTATTTGACAGGTCATGAGTGCTGTTATTCTTCAAATCCGTTCGATGATTTTTTGGGTTGAAGTTGATATACGGTACATTTTTCAAAGCTAACTACTTTTTTATTATAACTCTTGCAGGTTGTCCTCTTACCTGTTTTGGAGGACCTAGATGTCTTCACCTCTGACATGACCTCTAACCTGACCCGCCAGGCCATGAGAACCTGCTGGGAGGCAGCTGTCTCAGCAAGGTCAAGGGTCACAGTGAACAGAGGAGAATGTGCCCAATATGAGTTTGCCATAATGGCTGAAGTTTACAATGGGGCTATTGGTAAGATTTTTGAGGAAAGTCTATATTTAAGAGTATTTATCTCAGAATTATGTTTTGAATTGTTTAATGTTCAAGCGACAGAACCTTTTGTATCTTTACATTTTCAGCAAAATGCAAAATAAGAACATCAGGGGGCAGATCCAGGATTTTCCAAATGGGGAGGTGTGAACGAAATATTTTAGGGTCGTGGCCGTAAAATTAGGAAGGTTGGCTAACCAGAATCAGAACTTTTTTTTTAACGCCGTCGTCACATTTGTGGGGCTTGAATGTTCTGAGAAATTTTATCAAAATTAGGACTTATCTGAGGTCTGTGGACATCTGGTGACTGTTCTAGGGTTGTACTTTTTGAGCCACTGATCCTTGTATGGTTATTCTTCCACCTTGTGAAATGAGGATAATTTGCACGGACAATAATACATCAATTTGGGGAACGGGAGGAAACTGTGCCCCCACATTTTGTAGGTAGATATCATATCTTTTGTACCCTCCCTACTTTTTCGGTCCTAAATAAAAACTGTATGGAGCAGTAGGCCTACATTTGATTCACATTTCAGAAAGAAATAATTTGAAAAATGAAATAAAGCTTGCAAAAGCATATACCGAGAAAAATTATTTAACCACTTCCTGCCGGGTGCTTTTTGAAAATGCAGTGTCAGTGGTTTTCAAAAATCTTCAAAAATTCATATCTTTTTTCTTGAAAGCCTAAACCCTATCAAGTGACTGCCTGGTGGCTACTCTAATCTGACAGACAACATCTATTGATGCCTGATTTTGTAGCCAGACCTGCCACCTTGTAAAAAGAGCTCAGATTGTGCAGTGTTATGTAATTTTCTTTTGTTCCCGAAACTGGCACAGTGAGCTGCTGGTGTCTTTTCAATAGGGGCCAGATTAGTATGCAGCGGTATTGTATCGCTCATCACTTGAGCAGTGGAGCGCTTTTGTCTGCAGTGGTAATCCACTCATGCTGAATGCCACAAACAGTGGTATATCTTCCCAAACAATGATGGATTTCCTCCGCTATTGACAAAAAATGTTGGCAATCCCCAGCAGCCCGGTCTTTTGTTCCGAGTACGGTCTTTTGTTACAAAGCCCAGCTCTTTTGTCTGATTTCGGGCAGCCCGGCTTTGCGTATAAAGAAAACTTACCTGAAACCAGGCTCCCCGGCAGCAAGTGGTTAAGTAGTCAGAAACTGCCTCAGATCATATCACAGAGCATCTTGAATCCAAATTCAGGCCTCAGACCCCACACCATAAGGGCTTCACACTTTGTGCTCCCATCAGATCCAATCAAGGTTATGCCCTCCCACTTTTGAAAAGTGATTGTTGCCCATGCATCTTTTTTTTTTGGGTATATTTCTGGTGCCTTCATTTTCAGTCTATTGGAAATGTGATTCTGTAACTTCCTTTTATCTTTTTTCCATCTGGCTGTAGCTTGCTCGTGTAACGATGCGGGAACAGTGCCTGGTACAGTGTGCGACTTACACAGTGGCCAATGCCAGTGTGTGCCAGGTGTGACGTCACAGTCATGTGACTACTGCAAAGCATATCACTACGGTTACAACACAGCGGCTGGCTGCACACGTAAGCGCCTCAGTCACTTTGATGATTCTCATACACCCGTTCACTTTCCCATTGAGCGTTCCAACAAGTCCAAGGGAAACACACCTGACGTCATGCCAGCTCAAGCTTGTTCACTTTGGATGAGTCGGCATGTGTAGACTGATTGATGACCTACGACATGCTGCATTTTGATCATATTGATTATCCCCAATGACCTACGACATGCTGCATTTTGTGCATACTGATTATCCCCAAATGACCTACGACATGCCGCATTTTGTGCATATTGTCCCAAGTGACCTATAATGTACTGCATTTTGTGCCTACACCATTAGATAATGAAAATGGCATTTTATTCACTCATCCAATGTATGAAAATCAATTGTATTTCAGTAAATATGCGTGAGGTTGAGAATTGTATCGCTTGATACAATTGAATAAATATCTGTCTGTTGGCACTGTATTTCTAAGATTTGCTCCTGTATAGTTTATGAAAAGTAAGAGCAAAGGTACATGTACCAATGCCATCCTAGCTGCTTACTGGATTGACAGTGTTGGTTTGTTCGTCCTTTTTTCAGCTTGTGCTTGCGACATCAACGGTGCTGTCCTGCAGTCCTGCAATGACAACACCGGAGTGTGCGACTGCCACGCAAATGTGGTCGGGGACAAATGCAATGCCTGTCTGGCTGAACACTATGGCCTCTACACTGGTAAGTAGAAAATGTTTGCCTATATATCTCCCCCTCCCCTTTCCCTTCCCCCCTCCCCCACCTGGGAGGGGGAACCCTCAGCAGCAAGCTAAAGCTAATAAACCATGAACAGTGGGAGTGGTCAATTCCCAGGCATTTTGTAGCAAATTGTGATTCCGTTTCTTTGTCATTTCTCCCAACAGACCTTATCTTCAGGGAAGCCATGTTTGATTGTGTTCCTAGAATCCATCTTTTTTACTGTGATCTGTTAAATGACGGTAGTGCCAGACTATTTTGGGATCCATCATGCTCCACTTTTTTTAATGTGACTTAAACACATTTTGATATAATTATCACAAATTTGACATTACTCATCAGCATAAATGGTATTAATTTGTGGTGAATTTATGCATGTATGCATTGCTTTCATTTTTACTCTGAGGTGCCACAAATATAAAAAGATAACCTCGATTTCAATTCAATATAGCCGACTTGTGAACGAGGGCAATTTTTCTCTTCCTTTATTTTCCATTTTTATATTTCATTTATTTTGCTGGGGTAGGGCAACTCCCTTGTTGCCCAATCTCCTTACCCATACTGCATTAACCATGCTTTGAGATTAACTAGCATCATTGGTAAGTTTCCAATTGTTTCCATTAATCAGGCACTGGCTGCGTCCCCTGCATCTGTGCGGCCAATTACTCCCTGGACAATGCCTGTGATGATACTGGCCAGTGTAACTGCAAGCCAGGCATCGGAGGATTGAACTGCTCGCAGTGTGCACCAGGGTAAGGCATAGTGAAACAATGTCACTTTATCATTTATTAGTATTATCAAGTCTTTCTGGTAATGACACCCAGGATTCTTCAAAAGCATCGAAGGCAATGTAGCTAATAAGCCTGAAGCAACCTGTAGATATCAGATAGTGAGAAGCAGTGACAGTTGTAGAGATGGGAGGAAAATCGGAAGAATTTTCTGGGTAAAACCCACGGAATCAGATAGGGACTGAAAAGCCAATCCACGTAAGGACCGAGACAGGGATTGAATGCAGGCCATAGAGGTGACAGGCGATGAAAGAAGTACCATGCCAACCTGACTCCCCAAACCTGACTTGCATGCATGTGATTACTAGGTCCTTGTCCATCATTCTTGGTTTATAGTCAGTGACGTGACGGTGAAAGCCGCACATTGGTGAATAGTGGACCCTGGTAGTGGCTGGATGCCAAGGATGCAGTTTGTAGTAGTCTTACAATGTCGTATGTTGATGTGCACAAAATATACCCTCCCAAAAAAAAATCATGCGTTGCTAATATATATCTTGTAATACACAGAAATAAAACCTGCAGACTAACCGTACTGTCTCTTTTTAAACATTGCAATACCCATCCCAAGTATGCAGCAAATTTTCATATTTCGTCTGTGTAGCCAGTAGCAAGTATACAGCAAATTTTCATACTCTGTCATCAGTGTAGCCACGTTGCAGTGGATTGGTTGATACAATATGGTCTTATGCATCAAACATTTCTGGGTGACAAATATGGCGACTGCTCAAAAGATGGCCCTCTGCCTGAAGAAATGTTGCAAGGAGATGAAGAAGACAAAGTGAGTTGCTGTTACCGAAGATGATGTGGAAAATCCCAGACGAGAAATTTAGGGGAAGAATGAGGTTATTCAGCGATAGAATGAAAACCCAGAGAGGTCTACCCTGACAGGGATTTGAAACCATGGCCATGGAGGAAGAAAGCATCTCAAAGAGAACTAAGGTTGTTTTTTTTGGGTATCTCACTACCACAGTTATTACCAGCTGACAACAGACGGCTGCACCTTCTGCGGGTGTGATCCTGTGGGGAGTGCTCAGAGTGGCTGCGATGACGCAGGCAACTGCTTGTGCAGGGAGGGCACCATGGGAGACAAATGCCAAGTATGCAAAGAAGGTAATGCATTGTGGGTATTGCCAAGAGCAGTGTAAAATATTGGTAACTGCATCTCCTAGACATTTTGAGCCTCAAACTTTTTTCAAAGGTCCGATTCATGGGGAGAACCGAGGACTTCATCTTTCAACTTCAACTTCTGAAGGCAGATCAAGTTCCATAAAGAGGACTCTTGTTTTTGTTTCATAGTCCTCTAAGACTGGAAAATTGTGGCCAAAATTGCAGTCTATTGGTACACTTGTGTATCATATCATTATCTCTGGTGAGGAAAGGAGTACACTGTTCATAAGTGGGCCGATCTTTACAAACTTACATAAGCTTCTATATGATATCAGACCTTGTCTATCAGTATAGGTGTTGTGTTTTACATCACTTAACTCTTCCAAAGCAGGTCGCATCACACTCAAATATGATTTGAAGGTTTGGATGGATGATAAACTCTGTAGTAAGACAAAGGTTTTGCAATTGAGTGGGGTTCTGAAAAGAACTGGTGAACTTTAACGCTTTTTCACTGAGCCCCAGTCACTCACAAAAGGGAAACACGGTGCTTACTGCAAGCCTTGGTATTGTTACATTATGTTGAGTTGACCTCCATGTTCATGCTTGCAGGTTTCTACGGCTTTGGGCCCTGGAGCGAGCGCGGCTGTGCCGGCTGCTACTGCTCCTCACACAGTGCGCAGTGCACCACTGCCTCGTCCTGGTTCCGGGCCCAGATCGCCAGCAGTTGGTCGCTGCTGAACTCTGGGGCAGTGGACCCCCGTTGGACTGGGGTGACCGGCAGTGGGGCAATTGTTGAGCTGAATGAGGTGCCTATTCTGGATATTTCCAATCCCAGGTAATCCTCTTTTCACTGTTGCTTTCTTGCCTTATAATACAGAAAGGGTCATCCACAGATACATACCTGGCAGTTATTGGTATGATTTGTTGTATCTTTGATCATAAATGATCTCATCATCCATTGTATGATGTGATGGACATTCTTTTGGCTAAATTCTGGGGGTTTGAGAAAATTGTTAGAAAATCTCAGATTTGCTTTGGTAAGTGCATTTTAATTAGTAACAAAGTACAGGGAAAACTTCTGCTTTTAATTTAGAATTGACTGTACTGAAATTGTTCATCTTTACTTCAAGTATTTGCAAGACTGTGATGGAATGATGCATCAAAAACTTTAATCGGCCAAACAAACTTTGGCACAGTTTGGAGTTACAGAGGCTAATACAAGCTTGGCACAACATAAAAAAAATAAAAATTCAAATTTTTTTATCCTTCAAATATCTAACTAACATTTACCCTCTGGATATAACTTTAATTCACGTTTAAGTTTAAACCCAATTTTTACTTGACATTTTATTTCAGATTGATTCTTGAACTCATTGCACCAACCAACGCCACGGATTTCTTCTTTGCCTCGCCTGCCATCTTCCACGGTGACTTCAGGACTGCCTACGGCCAGTCCTTGACCTTCTTCCTCAGCCAGTCGACTGACCAGGGCCCCTTTGTCAATCCCGCCGGGGATGTCTTCATCGATGGCATTTATGCGAATGAGACACTGGTTGCTGCGCTTCCTTATGCACCCAATACAGATATGAATGAGACAGAGTACCAGGTGAGGGTTAGCTGATGCTGAAAATTGATTGATATTGATCAACATTTTGTCATCTCACTTCTGGTTATACTTCTTCTTTCTCTTCTACAAAGGGACCCTGCTGGAAATATTTTTCAAATTGATTGTGTCAAAGCTGTTGGTTACTTTCTAACTTATTTTTGACTGGCTTGCAATTGACATTACAACTCTGAATAAAGCTTAACTCTCACATATTAATGCATAATGACTAACTCTTCAGTTCAAGCTGCATGAGAATTACTGGCGCAAGGGCAGCCTGCAAGGGGACCAGCCAACTGCCGAATACATGATCAGGATATTAACCGGTATCCAGTCCATCCGCATCAGGGCCAAATACAATGCGGTAAGCCAAAACATACCTGTCCACTTCATTAGTACAAAATACAGAATAATGGAGGTTTTCATCTGATTTCCCTTTTTGGAAGGTGCCACTGAGTGGTAGCTTCATTTTGATGTGTTGGCTTCAACTTGTCTCGCTACCCTATCTATCACCGATATTCACTATTAGCGCACCTCCCGAAATTCCTCAGTTGCTCACTGTGTGCTGTATCTCAGCTTTGAGTCATCCATTGAGTTATCTACCCCCCCATGTAGAGGTATCTCCTTATTGACAATGAAGAGAAGGGTTGATGTAGAGCATTTTAGCAGGGAACCCGAAACATACGCAAAGCCACACTTGTTTCTGTTATCTACCGAAGTGGACATTCCTTCGTTTAGGTGTAGTCAAGAAAACTCGGTGAAGTTGAAGAAAGCTCACATTGCATTACTGTTTGTTCTGCACAGCTGCCCGGGGAGTCAGTGTTCCTGTACAGTGTCATGCTGGACTATGCCACACAGGGGGACGGTTCAATAACAGGGGACTCTGCCAACTTTGTGGAGAATTGCACCTGCCCTGCTGAGTACATGGTAAGCTGTGAACAGGACAATTGAATCTACTCTAAGGAACTCGAGAAAAAATGTGACTTAAAGTATGCCACACTTGATGTGAGTGTCAGATTTGTGTGTGGATAACTCATGAAAGTATATCCCTCAAACATCGTCCCAAAATTGGGTTAATGGATAAGAGGGTTACTTTTTCAGAATGCAATTCTAACATAACATTAACCACGTCATGCCGGGGCATTTGTCAATGTTGATGATGCTGGGCCGGCATGACTATTATTTTTTCCTTTTCAAAATCCTTCAAAAATTCATCATTTCATTTAATGGTCGTTTATAGCCGCATGAAGTAATCTTTAGGCAATACTCTAAGTTGACAGGTGACCTTCATTGATGCCCGAGTATTTCAGCCAGGCCTGCAGCCTTGTAAACAGAGCCCAGATTGTGCGGTATAACTGTCTTTTGTTCGCGAACCTGGCTCAGTGCACTGCTGACCTCTTTTCTATAGGGGCCAGATTAGTGTGCAGCGGTGCTGTGTGGCTCATCGCTGCGGTGGTGGAGTGCTTTTGTCCCCGGTGGTAATCCACTGGCTCTCAATGCCCCAACCCTGGTGTACGGTTTCAAAACAAGGCTGGATTA